CATGATAGTCGGCTTCTTGCAGATTTCGAAGCTGTTGTGATGTTTCGAAGATCTGGAAATATTTAACCGTTAGTTCATCCTGAATTTTTGATATGTTATGAAAGAGTCGATGAGGAACAACTTCAATGAAGAAAGCATACCGATCTGAACAAGAGAAAATGGAGTTTCGAAGCTCACAACAAATCTGACGGGTTGACAGACAAATAATAACCAGTCATTCATCATACCTGAATTTCTTGAGTTATACAGCTCCGAGGGATCTCAAATTTGGATATGTTGTAGTTCACAAGCTGAGGAACAACTTCAATGAAGAAAGCATACCGATCTGAACAAGAGAAAATGGAGTTTCGAAGCTCACAACAAATCTGACGGGTTGACAGAAAAATAATAACCAGTCATTCATCATACCTGAGTTTCTTGAGTTATACAGCTCCGAGGGATCTCAAATTTGGATATGTTGTAGTTCACAAGCTGAGGAACAACTTCAATGAAGAAAGCATACCGATCTGAACAAGAGAAAATGGAGTTTCGAAGCTCACAACAAATCTGACGGGTTGACAGAAAAAATAATAACCAGTCATTCATCATACCTGAGTTTCTTGAGTTATACAGCTCCGAGGGATCTCAAATTTGGATATGTTGTAGTTCACAAGCTGAGGAACAACTTCAATGAAGAAAGCATGCTGATCTGAGCAAGAGAAAATAGAGTTTCCAAGCTCACAACAAATCTGACGGGTTGACAGACAAATGATAAACAGTCACTCATCATACCTGGATTTCTGGAGTTGTACTGCTCCGATGGCTCTCCAATTTGGATATGTTGTAGTTAAGGAATTAACGAACAACTTTCATGAAGACAACTTTGTGATTCGACCTACAGATGATGGTGTTATGTTGAAAAACAATTCCGGTTGTTAGGGGAAATGAAAAACAATTCCACCAAAGAAACATCATTATGATGTTTCATCATTATGGTGTTTTCATCATTATGATGTTTCATCATTATGGTGTTTTCATCATTATGATGCTTTCATCATTGTGATGCTTCCATCATTGTGATGCTTCCATTATGATGTTAATGCACCAACGGTTACACCTTCTGCAATTCCACTTATTCGGGCCTAGCAACCTTCATCAACAAAATCTATGAAGAAAAAGTCCGGGGCTACCACTTAGAAAACAAAAGAATGAAGTTTTGGTACTTACGACATGGACTATTAGCAAGACACCTCATTCGTCAACTCCCTCGACTAGAGACTTGGGGGACTCCCACCATATGCTACTACGCCTTGGTACTCAAAAGTTCGTGACTACTCAGTGACTTGGATTTTTCAAGTCTCCAACCGAGAAGTTTTCCTCACTCGGGAAATTAAGGGAACACTACCTCAAACTACATGCTTCACTCACAAAGCTTCAACAATACAGGTTTCAACAAAAGCAAAAAATTCAAAGAACTTTATGAAGAAGGCTTTGGTGTATTTAACACAATATGTTGAAATGAAGCAAAGCTTATTTATTAATATTTTCGATAAGCCACAAATATGTACATATACATGAGTCAAAAATAAACAAACAAAAGGGAGCCTTCACAAAGGTTGCTTAGGGGAAGTCTCAGCAGTCGGTAGAGCCCCAGAAAGAGAAAGCACCGGAGGGTGGTTATCCGGAGCCTCAGTACTTGACAAAACCCCAGAAGGAGGAGGCATTGGAGGTTCATCATTTGAAGCTTCATTACCAGGTACAGCCCCAGAGGACGAAGGCAATAAATGCCTTTGGAACAAACCCACAAACCGCTGATGATCAAGTAAAACCTTACCATCAGATTCCTTCATCTGGTCAAGCTTCCTCTTCATGTTTGTAGCATAGTCATGGGCGAGCCGGTGCAACTGCTTATTCTCATGCTTGAGCCCTCTAATCTCCTGTTTGAGACTCATCACTTCAGCAGCCAATGATTCAACTTGGCGGGTTCTAGCAAATAGGCGTTGGGCCATATTAGACACAGAACCTGCACACTGAACACTAAGAGCCAGAGAGTCCTTAACAGCCAACTCATCAGACCGTTTGGAAAGTAGTCTGTTATCTTTGGGAGTGAGAAGGTTCCTGGCCACCACTGCAGCGGTCATATCATTCTTCATCACAGAATCCCCAACGGTAAGAGGACCAGTAGGGGATATGAAGGATGGGCGCCATATATTGTCTGGAGAAGGCGTGGCTGTCTCTTCTCCAAGGTTCAAGTCAAAACGACGGTCGGAGGGTCCAGACATTTTCAAATGTGTTGAAGAAGGAAGAGGTCAGACAAATCAAGATCTTAGAAGTGCAAGAAATGAGCTTCTACTGGTAGAGATTCAAGTGTGCTGTGGAACTTAATGCCAGCCTCTATAAAAATCTGCACTCGACGGAGCTTCAGAAATCGAAGAGGCGTTTGCTTTCTCAAAAGCTGGGCTGCTCAGAGACCACGAGGGCCGATCTCAGAAATCGAAGAAGCATCTGCTTTTTCAGCCTCGTCAGCACCTGTCACATGCACACTCAGCTTTGCGGAAATTACGGGCAATCTGTCGAAGATTTCTGGTGAAGTAGAAAGCACGTGAATCTTACTGTTCAATCACCGCTCTCCATATGCACCATCAACTCCTCGGGTACCACATATAACTTTGTCAAAGATCTCTGACAAAGTTTAGGCACGAGAATTTCGAAGTTCCAGCTACCCTACTATTACCCATAAGGGTAAAGGAACAGCACCACTGCTTGACAACTGGAAAGTCCCTATGTGTGTCGACCTCCGTGTTTTGCGGCAAGACAGGTTGGCAAGAACGTCCAACCTTTACTCACATTCGAGAAAAGACTCCCAACATAATTACTTTCTCAAAAACCGGAGTAGCACCGCTTTCCGAATCTCGAGAGTCAGATCCTCGACGGGATTGCTTGTTCGAAAACCGAAGAGGCACAACTCTCAGAACTTCGAGAGCCAGATTTCCTTAGATAAAGCTTGTCTGTAATCTTCACACGTAATATCAGCTTTCCAGATACCACATACCACTTTTTCAAAGTGCTCTGACAAAATTAAAACACGTGAAGCTGGCAGCTCCCACTACATTGCTGTGACCAAGAAGGGTAAAGGAATAGCATTACTACTTGTTATTGGGAAATCCCTATATACATTGACCTCCCTCCTCAACGGACAGGCAAACCTGCAAAAAATGCTCAACCCTTTCTCGCATTCGAAAAGGCACCCTCAACATAACCTCTCGAAATACTCAGCTTTATTTCCCCCCGATAATACCTCAACAAATAAGCCACACCAAGAACAAGAGTATCTCATATCATCAGGGTCGAAAGCAAGAGTATCCCATATCATGCTTTCTCCCTGTCTTTGTCTTTGTCCTTGTCCACACCTGCAGGACAAGGAGAAAGAGAGCAGTCAGTCGGAACCTGAAATCAAACCTCCAATTTGGAACTGACTGCCTGGAGCCTTTGCCTGGTCGCTTACTTAGCATTGCTCTCGAGTACTCATCCTCAACTGCTGTCAAGGTCACGAATTCCACCGGCAAATACCTCATGACAGTTGATCAGATATTGGCTCTTTACACTGAAGCTGCCAAGCGTGAATGAGTCACTATGAAGGAATGTTCTGAAGGACCATTTAAATGCAAAGGTTGCACACCACTTCTGCCATGCAAAAGATTGAAGCAGAAGGTTCAACGGTGGGCTGAAACAGATCACTACAGCACGACACCTTTCCATACCACATTCATTATTCCGTCAACAGCAATAGTATCCCATATCATCAAGGTCGAACGTACTCTAGATTTGATGGACTTGTTTTGACCCTCAAATTTTTGAGTCGGCCTTATACTCTGAAGGGCACCAGAAAACCCTCCAGCACAGTTCAAGAATAAGCCTGTGGAAAGTTACTTCTTCAAAAGCAAAAGTATCTCATATCATCTCTTATCCATTTGCTTCTCCTTATCCTGGCAGTTGAATGAGAGACAAGGAGAATGAGAACAATCAACCGGAAGCCGAAGTCAAACCTCTGCTCCTGGGTTGCTTACTTGGAAGTTTGACTGCTTACCTTGTCTGTCACCTCTTTCGGCAGATCTCCTAGCTCGGCGACTTGGGGGACTCCTACTATAGGGTTTGTATCGCACTTGACCAAGCCCGAAACTACAAGTAAGCTTCAAGTGAAATTGATACATTACCTTGTGCGTCAACATCAGCTAAATACACCATTCCCGGATGGAGGAAAGGTACTTCCAGAGAAGGGCAGATGAAGATCAGACCACACTTCGGTACTTAGAAGTTTCGTGATTACTCAAGGGATTGGATCTTGCAAGTCCCCAACCGAGGAGTTTCCCTCACTCGGGAACTTAGGGGAGCACTGTTTGTACCATACTTGACCAATCCCGAAACTACCGAGCACCGGCCAACGCTATACTGTCAAGGACCCAGAAGAGTTCCCCTCCGACCAGGAGGCCAATCACTACTCGACACGTGTCAAGATTAGAAGCCAATCAGAGCGCAGCACGTGTCGACATCAAGAACCAATCACAACATGACACATGTCAATGTGACAAAGCTACAAGTTTTTCTATAAATAGGGGTCATTCCCCCACAATATGGCCTAATGCCATTTTGTGTTAAATCATTCACAAGAACTCACTAAATTGAGAGCTTGATCCTTTCTACTTGTGTAAGCCCTTCACTACTAATAAGAACTCCTCTACTCCGTGGACGTAGCCAATCTGGGTGAACCACGTACATCCTGTGTTTGCTTCTCTGTCTCTATTCATTTACGTACTTATCCTCACTAGTGACTGAAGCAACCAAGCAACCAAGCGAAGGTCACAAAACCTGACACTTTCTGTTGTACCAAAGTCTTCGCTGATTTTGTGCATCAACAAATGTCATTGCACATGAGATATATGTTATAGCCGCACAAAATACTCTATAAAAGTTCAAGATACCTTCAGAATTAGGGATCATCATCCACCAGTAATGAACTATACCTGCAAGTCAGAACATGGGCATCAATTCTCCGCTCTGCTTCGGCACTTGCTTTGTGAACATCATCGGAAGTGGAAGCCATCTTAGGAAACACACAAGACTGGACAAGTGGAAATTGTTGCGCCTCTAACTCTGCTAGAGGCGAAATAACGTTCATATATGTAACCTGTGAAATACAACCATTAATAAAATTAGCTCAAATTCATCAAACAAGAAACAAAGCAGTTTAAAAATTAAAATAGTCACGCAAATTATGTTCGTTCAATAGAATCATTATGGTTACAAACGATAGTATTCCCTCATCTAATTTGAGAAATGCAGAGCTTTCCAAGCCAGATTAGCGGCATAAATTCGAATGCAGAAGCTACTGAACTGGATTTTCATACTAAACTGTGTGAATTGTGGCAATTGCCTATAACCGTATCGAGTGGAACTGAAGCAACTGGCTCCAAAATCAACTCAAGTTCATAAAATTGACATTAAATAATAAAACCAGCTTAAATACACATTCTTTTTACAAACTATACTATTTTCGAAATCGAGAATCAGAAAAGTAACACTTAAATGGATTTTGCAAACCATATTTTAAGTTGCAGATATTGAAATGGAAAGCTACTAAGTTCATGCTAAACTGTGTGAATTGCTTACAACCTTGTCGAGTGGAACCGAAGCAACCGCATCGTGGACCTCTTTCGACTTTGAAATTATTCGGTCCGCCAATTTCAAAATTTCGGACGCCGATAGATTAGCCTGAACCTTAGAGCCCTGAAGATCTGCAACTCATAAACGCACAGTGAGAGAGAGAGAGAGAGAGAGAGAGAGAGAGAGAGAAGAGTGAAAGGACTGTTTGGTTGACGGAAAACAAAAAGCAGAATAGCTAAAGCGGGCGAATAAGACTGTTTGGTTGCCAAGAAAGTGAGAAGAACAGCAAATGAGTAAAGAAGAAGAAGACAAACATTTCTTCTTTCTGTTCTTAGTGTGAGCATTGAAGGCGGTGATTCCAAGGGTAGCGGCGACGGCGAGCAGAGCAGCGGCGCCTCCGAAGGCCAGTAGCCTGCTGCGTTCCCACTTCTGTTTGGGCATTTTCTCGCCGTTTCCCCGAGTTTCCGCCATTTGTTTTTGTGAGAGGTGTAATTGGCGGAAAAGGGAGGGAGGCGAGGCAATTGACTCAATTTTATAAGCCGGGAGATAAATTGCATTTATTGGATTTGAAATATTTTAAAATTGTTGGAGGGCTATCCTTAGAGCAAGTCCACTGGAGGACTTTTTGCCCAGCACCCAGCCAAAAAAATAGGTCATGACCCAGTGAATTTGCTCCAGCCGACCCAATTGACTGGCACCCAGCCCATGCCAGTCCACAAGCCGGCCTAAAATCGACAGACCTTGGGATCGGCCTATCTGATGCCATGGTGACACCAGCATGGCGTCCGAAGGAAGTTTGAACCGGAGGCCGTCTCCCGTCGACCTCGTGAACGCCATCGGTCGCTTCGTCTTCCTGCACTCCATTCACAGCAGCGAGTCCGTGTGCTCTTGCGCCGTCCGGATCTTGTCTGGGTCTCGCTTCAGAAACCCAACGGCCACGAACACCTTGTTGAGGTGGTCCAGGTTGAGCTCCGCGATCGTGCGGTGAAGGTTGAAGCCCTGGGTGTCGAGGTCTTGGTCGGAGGTTGAGTATTGATTGGTACCGACATGGTGAGGGAAAGGAAGAAAGAAGAAAGAAGAAAAAATAAATGATAAAGAAAGGACCGGAAAGGGAAAGCAAGAAAGAAGAAAAAATAAAAAATAAATTAAATGATAAAATATTAATTGATATGAATAAAATAATATAATATTAGATAGGCTGGGTGCCAGTGTATTTTTAGGGGTGGAGATGCTTTGACCTATTACTGTTTATTGGGTCTATTACTGTTTATTTGAGTGGATAAATGCGCTGGAATCTGGCACAAAGTCTTCCGGGTGGACTTGCTCTTATCAGATGGCGCAATCGGGACTCGTGGCAATTTCGGGCCCTTGATTGGACCTTTGAATGACCCGGTTGGGATCCATTTTGATTTGGCAATTTTAATAAATTTTGTATTTTTTCTATGTGAAAAATAATCGTAGAACCTCGGGTACAAAGTTGTATGTTTTTAATTAATTGAGCTATAACCTCGTTTCATTTCTTATTCGCACTGAAAAAATATTAGGAAAATTGTATTTGAACCCTCGTTTCATTTCTTATCTCTGCATCCAACTAAATAAATTTATTTACCAAACTTCTAAATTTGTTCTTGAATAAAAAATGAAAATTTGATTTTATAACTCTAAAACACAAATAACAATAATCTCTCTACACCCTTTTTATTTAGAAAACTTTAACGAAAAGCTCACAGTATTGTTCACTTTAACGAAAAACCACATTTTTACACTAAAAAGTCAATTCTGATACCATTCACTTTACCCTTTATTTTATCATTGTCGTTAAAACTCAAAGTTTTCAAGTCATTTTCATTAGTTTTCCTTTTTATTTAATCCGATGAACCCAACCCTAAGGACGGCAACTCTCCTCCGACATTGTTAGTGACCACAATCTTGAATTCATGGCTTACATTTTCGCTTTCTCTTAATTTTGGTAAGTTATACACATTGGATTTTAGTGAATAAAAAAAGCAATCAAACCTTATTGTCGCAAGGCTTCTGTTTAATTTTCGTTCAGAAAGAGTAAAACAACACCACCTAACATGTGCTTGTAGAAATAACCCAATCAAATGAAGAAAAAAAGGCACTTTCTTCATCATATAATAACAATAGAAAATATAGTGTAAAGGGATGGTGGGTGTCGATGATTTTGGAGAAGGGTTGCCGACGCTAGGGTTAGGTTCATTGGATTAAGGGCCAATTTGGAGTTGTTATGTTTTTTTAATAAATTGCTTATGCTATGCTTTAATAATAATCAGTTGCAAAATAAAGCAATTGAGGATTTGATAAACTATATTTTTTAAAATATTATGAGTATGAAAATCAGTGTAAATGCAATGTCTAGAAGGATAAACAATGGTGCTTTCCGTTGGGATAATCTGAGTTCGAAGTTTCTTTTTAATATTCTTGCTGAATATGTAAACGTTTCTTCTTTTTATTTTTATTTTTGTCAAAGTAAACGTTTCTATTAGAATTCTACAAAAGTTACCCTTTGACAAAAAAATAATGTCATAGTTTAAAATTAATAACCTTATTACATGAATTAAAAATATTCTAAAGGCTAAACTCCGATTTTTATTAAAACAACTTTTAAAAGCAACCTACAAGCTGCTTTTAAAAGCTGTTGCTTGAAAGTCATTGCTTTTAAAATAAGTAGTATATTTTATTTTTAGCAAACACTATTTTACTGCTTAACTTTAAAGTGAAGCAGTTTTTGGTAAAAATAAAAATACCAAATTGGGCCTAAATAAAATGGGTGTAGAGAGAGAAATTTTTGCTGTTTGTGTTTGGGTTTATAAAATTGTTTTTTCTTTTTTATTTATTTAAGGTTGAATTTGGAAGTTTGGTAGACAAATTTTTCTAGTTGAGTGTAAAGATAAGAAAGTTAGGTTCAAATAAAATTTCCAAAAAAATTAATGAGAGAAATCAGATATAGCTTATGTAAGTTTGAAATAATTTTTAGGAGAGTGCTAGCTTTCTTTGCATTTGGACCTTGTCACTTTTTCAAATGATACATGTCATTTTTTACACACAAAAAGACCTTATTGCTTTTAGCTAGAAATTAAATGTGAAAACCAAAATAATATGATTTCAAATGCATTCAATGTCTTATTTTTTGTGTAAAAAATGACATACGACACTTGTTAAAGTGAAAAGATCCAGATGCAAGTTAGTGCAAAGGTTGCTAGCAATTCTCTAATTTTTATTGCATGTACACACTTTTTTTTGTCAAACTAAATTTCTTCATTAATTAAAAAAACTAGCACAAGATATACAAAGACCTAGATTTGAAAGATTGTTGCCTCCACCACAACAACTGTGTCTCCCTCACAAATCTGCCACCACCACCTAGAAGAAGAACCCACGAACAAATTGGATGAACTAAAAATGGGGTGAGTGAGCCATCCGTGCAAAAAGTGCTTTCATCATCCTAGAAATAGTGCTAATAACACTTTAACATCCACTTAACGCCAAAGTGCCCGCCAAGAAGAAGCACCCAATGACTCGAGGAGCAAAGGTTGGTGGTTGAAGATTGACCACGAGAAGCAACATCTGAGCAAGAGAGGGGCATAAAACCCCAAATCTGAGACATTTTGCATGTACACGTTATGGATGACAAAGAAGACGTGTTTGGATTAAAAGTTAACTTTGGGCTCAAGAAAGGAGCTGGCCCAAAAGGAGGCCCGAAAGGGAAGACAGCCGAAGCCCAGAAGGCAGAAAGGGCCTTTTCTGACTTGGTGCAGCTCATGAAGACCACTTGCTTACCTACCCAAGGGCCAAGTGGTATGGACTGATTAGCTACACAGCTCATAAAGTACTTTATGATGGCAGTACATGTAAAAAAGCTGATGAGTCATCACCCTCAAACCGCATTCGGGCAAGGCTGCTGCTACAGAAGACCAAGCCGAGTTGTCTATATAAGAAGAAAGAAAAACCAGGAATAAGGACACTCAATCAAACAAACAAATGCAAGCACAAACTCTGCTCAAAGCCAGATTTGCCTTCAAAACAAAGCTGTAGTCAGCCTTCATCCCTCTCGGGACGAGCCTTCATCCCTCACGGGATAACCCTCCCTTCAAACCTTTGTAATAGCTCTGCTACCTTGTTCAACCTTGTTGTAGTATCGATTCATCTTTTGTAAATCTCTCTCTCTATCCCTCTAAGCTCTCAGACCTTTGACAAAACTACAAAGATAGGAACCTACAAGACGAGCAACCTTACCTGATAAGGTTTAACCTTGCCTGACCTTCTTTGTTTTGTTTTTGTCTTTTCAATATGTTGTATACTTCCAGTTATATGCAAGTTATTTCTAGCAATATGACTATTCAAAGGCTTTCTCAGTACTTGAATCCGATTTGAATATATCGTCAGTGTTCAAACCAGATCCAAGTCCTAAGCCCTCGGGCATGTAAATCTGATCAGTTAAAAGTCCTTGGCCTCAAGGCATAAAAAAGAACCTTATGTGGACTTAACCCATCCACGACAGTCCTTGATAAACGATAAGTCCGAAGTTACTTGGGGCGCAAGTAATCGACCTACCCTCTAGTTTTCTTTCTATTATATTATGATTACCATACGCTTGAGCATGGAATGGATTCTGATGGAAAGCCTCAAGGCCTACACCTAAGGCCCCACAAAGGCATCCATTTAGGTTCATTCTACTTCTTGGACTCGGGTAATCAGAAGTATAATAGTTAGAAAACTCCTGCAATCACGAGAACAAATATGATGTGTTCGAGCACCGGTGGTTAGTTAGTTATTGATGAGAAGCCTCAAGGCCTACACCTAAGGCCCACAAAAGGCACCTGTTATAACTAACACGGTTTCTTGGATACATACATATATACAACTAAAACACGACATCCATTTTACATCTGCCATGCTAAAGATGGCAGTGGCACGCCTGAGCACCTAAATGTTAACCTTGATTGTGAGCCTCAAGGCCTACACCTAAGGCCCCACAAAGGCACCTCTCAAAGTTAACGATGTCCTTCTCTTTCAGCCTTGCCCGACGAGCCTTGCCCGAAGAGTCTTGCCCGACAAGACTTGCCCGACAACGCCCGACAGTGAAGCAGAAGCCCGACAGCAGCCTTCAACCGGCGCCAACCTCCAGGGGAGCTGTGTGCTCGTCGACCGGGAAACATCCCCGACGGAAATTCCTGACGCGAACATAGTTTTGGCACGCCCAGTGGGACTTCTACATTTGATCAGAAGATATATGTTAAAATGCCAGAAGATTTGCAAACCACGTTACTACAAATGTTGCAAAGATTGGAGAAAACCTCCACAAGCTCCAGAAATGACACAGGCTTGGTTCCTCCCAAAGGAAAAAGACGTAGAGCCAGCCAGCCAGAAGAGTCGGTGACAGCCAAACCTGCAGTTCCCTTCACCGAAGCCCCTGTACATATGATTAATATGACATGGGCTGAGAAGGGAAAAGAAAGAATTACAAGGGAACCAGAAGAGAAGATTCGGGCTGAAAAACCTACATGAAGGGTGATTAAAACACCCGAATATCCAAAAGCAGCCATAATCAAGGGGATGGTTATGTGTAGTAAGTGCCAATGCGAGTGTGAGCTCGAAATTCCCCCGGCTGGAATCCTCATTGACCATGAACTAATCAGGAAAAAGGAAGAAGACGTCAGAAGAGAAACCTGCGAAAAGATTAAGCAGGCAACAAAAAAGGACACTTCCCGAAGCGTTTTTCAACGACTAGGAGGTGATTCCCAACCCAAAGCTTTGTCAGAAGTATTTCGAAACCATGAAGTTTCTGAAGAAGCAGAAGACATGGAGGCCAAAATACGAAGGGGTACAGATTATCCTCAATGTGGCCAGATGGGGAGGGAAATCAAGAGGATTGATGGCATGACCAATCCTGTTATAAAAGAACATCCTGCCCACCTCGGGCGAAAATGGTACGTAGTCGGGAAGAACGGACAGCCTACCAACCCAATGGGAGCCTCCATGGTCAGGAGGGTTCAAAGGCAGCACAAAGCCTACATGAATGCCCTGAAGACCCCCACAACATCCGAATCTTCCAAAAATCAAAAG